CAATAATTAAGTCGCGCGTGACATTAAAGTCGAAGTTAAAAAGTCCCGATTGACAATCTTGTTCGGAGGTTGATTCAAGAATGATCTCTGAGGGAAAAGCTAGAAAATATGATATAATATGGAAACTTCTTAACTATGCTGAGTAAGCGGGACGCTGAATAAGCGGTGTGGTAGCTTCGTTGCAGGTCAGTGGCGCGACAGTAGCTGCAAAGCAGTGGCGTAACATAACAGCACTGATGAAGATGCCATATATTTAGATTAATTTCAGAGCGGTCAGAATAAAGCATTCGAAGTAAAATAAGATAAAAATAACAAATAACAACAAATACTCTTTGCAAATGGTAAATTCGAGACCGTTCGAGACCAAGTCACGAGTGCTGTGCTGATTCTGATAATGAGCTTTTAAAATTTGTGTGGCTTTCGCGGCCCAGGTTTATTGATAAAGTGTTTTCATTCGGGCTTAATGGCCGTCGTAAGTTGGAATTTCTTCCAGGCTGCTACCTGGTCTGCTACCAGAATCGGACATGGAAGCACCTCTGAAGATGCTAGCCAAGCGTGCTAGCGAACCGTCAGGAAGAAATTCCAACTTACGACGGCCATTAAGCCCGAATGAAAACACTTTATCAATGAGATTTTGCCTTTTATTTCAATTTTTACAAGTGTCCAATGTGATCGCCATCTGTAGAATTTGCCCTCCTGTACTTTTCCAATAAAGAAAGTGAATACAATTTTGCGTTTATAATAAAGTTGATATGATGAATGAAAAAACTCCAGCGACGGATTGGTCGGAAAGGAGACCCAAAACCTCGATGTTTGTTCTTGGCTGGCGAACTTACCAGAATTCACCGAGTGATTTTTTATGAAGATTCAAAGGTGTATACTTTCTTGCTTCCCAATAAACTCGATGTTCTTAGACATCGAATGGAAATATTTTTAACTTAGTTGACCTAATAAGTTATGCGCTAATAAGGAAATCGCATAAGCACCTTCATGTTGTCCAGGCTGCAGGTGCTAGCCGCATTAGACACTTGCCTTCTAAGATATATAAGGTGATGAAATTGAACTTTATCATGGTTAAGTAGAACACTGGTTGTGGGTATTTCGAGGGACGTCATCACGGTAACGATAAAGTAGATAATAATTGGGGTATTTAACACTTATACGTGCTTATACATGCCTGCCGAGACGAAATCACTGTGAAGCAGCGCAGCCGCGTGGGGGAGACAATGCGGACTGTATCAAAAGGGGCCATCAGGGAGCCTCGTTATGAACAATTCTCCATACGGAAACAAATCCGAGCCTTCTCCCATATTTCTTCTGATAGCGAAGGCCAACTTCCTCGATGGCTCACCCGTGGTGAATATTTTGGACCGAAAGTATATTTTGATAAAACAAAAATTAAAGTCTAGTTTACTACAGTTCTTCCCCAAGACACTCTCCACACGATACTTATCGGCTTATGCAGCTCATCCGCTGCAACATACGTCGGAGCCCCGCAGGGCCCCGCACTGCTGGACCGTGTCCATCAGATCGGGGGGACACGCGGCGGCATCCGAGGCCTTTGCTCGGTGGCCCCCTTGCGCTCCCCCTATTCCCCTTTGGAACCGTACTTATCGAGCACTGCATCAAATTACGGCGCGAACGTTCTTTTGGAAAAAAATGCCTGTGGTGAGCTGAAGAGTTTTTTGTCCAGCGGGCCAATCGGATTGATCTTAAAGCACACGAACTATAATTTGTGTTATTTTTCTTTATGTTTTTTTTTTTCTCAACAGAGCAATCCACTTCTGAGGTGGCTTTTATTTTTTGCACTATCGTAAAATGTAAAAAATGTCTTTTTTAATTAATTGGGATGGGATCGAAAAAGAAATCGATTAAATTTTGAGACCGTGAACGTTCCGCAAAATCAATTTGCATCTTTGACATCACAATAAATACTAATTAGATTTGAAGATACTTTCGAGCCTTTATAAAAAGAAACCAGATTTAATCAGTAATCTATCTGATTAAGGGTTTTGTGAGTTTTCATTTAGTTTTTGTTTCTGGGACTATGAATTATTACAATTTATGGAAAAAAATGTAGATTATTCACATTTAATTATGTGAAGGATCTACTTTCCCTTGTTTATGGCAATGGTATTTTAGCATTTACATAGAAACATAATAAACAAATTTGCCCCATTATTTGAAGCTCTTAGTGGTTTCGTGGGTAATATAACGGGTCTACAAAAATGTAAATCAAAGATGGCTATGATTTTTTAAACTATTCACTATTCTGCTTTTTTCTTCTATCGAAAACAGCATTTCCTCAAGCAAAAATCTTATGACAAATAAGGAAGCAATATTGCCAAAAATTTGATAGTGGGACATTTATTCATGAATACCGACGCGACGTATGTTTTTGTACTTAAAGCTCTTTGATTCGTTTTTTTTTTTTTTCGTAGACCCGGTATCAAATAAGCCCTAGAAATCAAATTATAAATTTCGAACCATTTGATGAAACTTTGGACATTCAATACCAACTTGAGAAATTTTAACGATTACTACCAATAATAAAGCGGAAGTCATGCTTTTAAAAAACTTTTTGAAAGTCTACAATGGGTATGGGGTATGTTATCAAGAATGAGGATGAAATAGGTGAGTTTACGCATAAAAATAAGAAATGATTAAAATAGGGAATTACGACATAATCAATGAACTGTCAATTTGGTAGCAGCTTATTTCACAGATTTGGGTATTAGCTAGCATGGTTAAATTTGACGATTGAGATAGACAAAACAGTAACCTCTGCTATCAAAATAATTTCAAGATACCTATATAGGTACCACAAACAGCTTGTGCAAACGCTTATCAAAAATGTATGTAAGTTGAACTTTATACACAAACATACTGTAGTGTAGTGGTGATATAACAAGCACAGTTCATGGTTATTTTTATTGGTAATTTGGCAGATCGCTTACCTTTTGCGATCAATAAATTTCTCGAAACATTTCTATCTGCTATACAAATATATAAGTAGCATCCATATTTTATATTTCCAAGAGCCCTTGTAAATCAGGTAGAGAAATGCCGCAAATATTTTTAAAGAAGTCCAGGCAGGTGAAATAACTTTAACCCTTGCTTAACAACCGAGAAAATTAATAAAACTTATGGTTTTGGTGGTAATTTAGACCACCGGGCTTTCAGCGCAAACAGTTGGCGGCAGATTTGTTTTATTTGTAGAAGGGAGTAGTTTGCCGACAAAAAGGGATGCTAACCAAAACAGATTAGAACCACAAAATATCTTCATACAAAAAAAAGTTAACTTGTTCTTGTACCTATCCGTTTATATATGCTATTTTATAAAATAAAAAAAATATTATAATATTCAAGTTGTCCATATTTGTAGCAGTTTGCCCAACCTGTTTCTTCTAATTAAACTAAAAATTCCTTACCAGTTCCCAAATTTATTGTGCAAACTGGTACCTATTGCTTTTTTACATTAGGTTCATTAGGCGAACAATACGAACGCACTGTTTTCAGCACTGAGCACAGTGAGTAGAAAAAGTGTGGGTATGCAAACGCCAGGTAGAAAATGAGGGGAGCTGAAGTTTTTACGGCTTGGTTGCCGGTTTCTTTGGCTCATTAGCACTCATGTTCGGCGGCATCCTATTGACTAACAGGTAGAGTAGATAACGGCAACAAAAAGACTCTGACTGACTTGCTGGGAAGAAGGCTATAAACAATTAAGTTAGAGAAGTGTTGCGCCAGTGTATAGGATTTGATGAATTTTTAAGTTTAAGTTTAAATTGAAGCTTCTCTATAAGTGCTGATTCACAATATTCGGCATGTTAACCCTTTATAGTCTAAACTGGCCAATCTGGGGAGGAGAAGAATAAGAGCAGCATCAAAGTAGCGGAAACAGAGATGGAAACTTCGAATAAGTCGCTGTTACGTAATTATTACTGGAAAATGACTTTCTAGTTTTCCTACTTTTATTTGGACTTTTTCGGTAATTCTGTAGTGATTATTACTCAAGGAAGTAGTAAGAAGGTTTGGAATGGGCTTTGCGTCACTCAAATGATGCAAAGCACGAACAAAGGTATACATCCAGTAAATCGTGAATGAAAACTTTATGTTGAATATCACCATTTATTCCTTCTGCACACTATTCCTGTTGCTGTGGGACCTAAGTCGTTTGTCCCACAATGCATTTCTTTGGAAAATCGCAGAAATCAGTAGTTCGATATCCATTATCGATGCACGTCCAGCTCCGACCAGCGACCAAGAACTACAAATTCATTCCGGTAAAAAGTTGGCTCCGATCTGCACTAGCAACAAGCACCGATCTGCTTTGTCTGTGTGCGGGTGCATTTAAACGTGGATTTAATTATTGGTGCTTATAAGCGCTTGTTACCAGCAAGCAGGCAACCTGCTTTCTTTGTGTGCGTACCCTAAGGGTACGGACACAAAGAAAGCAGGTTAGTCAGCGCCTATTTCCGGCGCCGAAAATCAGCGCCTACAAGTCATTTCATTAGTACACAAAGAACGCCGGTTTTCGGCGGCCAGTTTGAAAGCAACTTCCATTCTACAAAGATGTCAAGTTCATCTTCAGATGAAGACTTTCTATTGACGGAAAATACATTTCTAAAGATGCAACGAACGAAACAAGGTGTACATCCAGTAAATCGTGAACGAAAATTTTATGGTGAATATCACCATTTATTCCAATCGTTGAAACAACACGAACAACGCTTTTTTCAGTATATGAGAATGACCATTGGGACATTCACCTACATCTTGGAAAAAATTAAAATGCGATTAACAAAAACGTGGTGTAATTGGCACAAGCAGCCAATCCTTCCAGAAGAAAGACTCGTGGTTACCATTAGGTAAGTAAACTGAATTTATTTTTTACAATAATTATTAAACATAAGCAAAAACATTATGTCTATTTAGCAAAAGTCAAACGTTAAAAAAATAGAAAAGTACTAAATTTAGTAAAGGCGAATGTTGGCAAAATTCTAAATACTTAGCAGGTCTTGTGGGGACTCTGGTTCTGCCAATGATGTATTTTCTTGAGTTGTTGTGTTATAAAGTACATGTCCATATGTTGAAGGGGCTGAGGCAGAGTACAGTGAGGATGAGGACGAAGAATATGCGCTACCCTCGGCGATACCAGAATAAGGGGAAATCTGTGGAGTGGTTACATAAGGTCCATGGTACATAGGTCCATGTCCATATGCATATTCGTCTACCATTTGCTGGATCCGCCCCCGGAATGACAATATTTTGTTTGGTGGAATTTTACGAACGTGGGGCAGCAAACTTTTGAAAAAACTGCTGTTGTCATCTTTTTCCACTTCGCGTGATCTTCTATTTGCCTTTTCCTGCAAATATTGTACTTTTTGTCGCTCAATCTTTAGCTTTTCTTCATTGCAAGAACCACTATCCAGTTTTCTTTTTATAGCTGTCTTGTGCTTATTAATCGTTTCAGAAGAGTGCTTCTTGTTTTCAGCCTCAAGATGTTCAGTTTTACTGGAACTTGGTGCATGAATAGAGTTGTCATTTGCCAATGTATCTGAGTCTAACTCGGTGTCTTGAGTGGAGACATCATAATCGGTGTCGGTATTATCTCTCTCTTCCATCTCGGTAGATTCTACTGTGGCGCAATCTCCACCAGAAGCTCGCGCTTTCACTATATCTTTTAAAAATAGAAGAGATTGAAAATATGGCCATTTGACCGTGTAATTCGGTGCAGGATCCCCCGATCGGGTTTTTGGTATTTTCCCAAATTCTACGGAAAACTGGTCCCGTAAATACTTCCATTTTTTCCTTAGAACCGTTTGTGAAAAACAAAAACAACATACTCAATGATGATATCTAGGGACGTTGAGGAACAATAATATGAACGTTTGAACAAAAGTGGTTTATCGTATTTGTAATTGTTGTAACCTACATAATAGAAGAATTGTTTTCTTCTCGACCCTTGCCAATAAACCGTCTAAACATGTCATAATAATATTATTTGTTACAGGTATTTGGCTACAGGCTGTTCATTCAAGACGCTTGCATTTTCGTTTCGAATGGGAGCCTCAACTGTAGGAAAGATCATTTCTGAAACTGTAGTAGCATTATGGGAAGAACTGCAACCCCAACATATGCCTATTCCAACAATAGAAACCTTCAAAAAAATAGCTGAAGATTTTTACAACACATGGAATTTCCCGCATGTTATCGGAGCGATAGATGGAAAACATGTCCGCGTTATTTGTCCAAAAAAATCTGGGTCGATGTTTTGCAACTATAAAAAATATTTTTCTGTAGTACTTCAAGGAGTAGTTGATGCTAATTACAAACTAATTGCCATAGACGTAGGTGGATATGGAAAGCAAAGTGACGGTGGCACATTCCAATCATCGGATTTTTATAAACTACTCACCACAAAACAAATAAAAATTCCAACTGCTTCTTCTCTACCTGGAACAACCGTTAAGGCCCCGTACGTCTTCATAGGAAATGAAGCATATCCACTTTTAGATTTTGTGATAAAACCATATAGAGGAACAAATTTATCTATTGAAGAAGAATGCTTCAATAGCAGACTCTCCAGGGCTCGAAAATCCGTTGAATGTACTTTTGGGATCCTGTATTCAAAGTGACGAATCCTGTCCAAAGCCATCGAAACTGATATAGGTGTTGCAGACAATATTATCAAATGTGTTTGTATTTTACAAAACACGATTTTTGATAAGGAATGCGTACAAAAACACCTAACCGATATAGAAATTGTGCCAAGAACCCAAAACAATCAGCTTTTTGGAAGACCGTTGAATTCAGCAAAAACTATACGGGATATATTTAAAAACTTCTTTACTGAGAATCCTTTAAATTATAGATAGAAATTAACTACTTTGAATCATGGATATTGTACAATTAAAACGGTTTGTTATTTGTGAAGCTAAATACTAAATGAAATCTGATTATACGGGATATACCACAGGCAATAGTATTTTTTTCCTAATTTAAAAATAAAGTAAACTTGCCTTCAATTTCCATCTCATCCGAAATTTCCTTCCATAGCTTCTGTATTATGTTTCTGTTGCTGTGGGACTAGAGTCGCTTGTCCCACAGCGCATTTCTTTGGAAAATTGCAGCAATAAGGAGTTCGACGTCCATTGTCATTTGTCCCGACCAGTCAGTCCGACCAGCGACCAAGAACTAAAAATTCATTCCGGAAAAAAATCGGCGCCGATCTGCACTTGCAACAAGCGCCGACCTGCTTTGTCTGTGTGCGGGTGCATTTAAATGTGCATTCAATTATTGGCGCTTATAAGCGCTTGTTACCTGCAAGCAGGCAACCAGCTTTCTTTGTGTGCGTACCAGAGCAGAAAATCTATTGGAACTCCTGGATCTCTCACTCTTACCCTGAGTGAGATAGCGCTAGTAAGGGCAGAAAAACTCACGGATCTCTCCCGTATTCAGTAGATAGGCAAGGGGCCATTCCAAAACCTTCTTACTACGTACTTCATTGTTATTACTACAATTTCGAACTTGATAGTTTCAACATTTCTAAGTTCTAAGTAGCTTTTGAAGTTTCTGGAACGCGACTGTTACTATGTAAAATAACTTTAAAGTCGCAAAGACTTCAAAGTAATATTCGATAGTCCCAGTAACTCTTTCTTGTTACTCGTATATCACGTCAAAATTTTCATTACGTTGAAAGTAACTACGACGTAGTTGATAGTCTTGAAATTCCTTATAATGTTATGGAACTATATACAGTAATATTCAAGGTAAAGCTGTCTGGCTACTCACGAAAACTATTTCACAGTAATTTTTACTTTTCACTCTCTTTTAATTACCACAAAGTTCCAATTACTCGAAAACACTTTAAAGGAAGTAACGGTCACTTTATACAGACGAAAGTATCTATACCCGTTGTCGGTAATCGGCAATTTATTACATAGTTCGTTTCAGAATGCATTTATTGATTATTAAATGTTAAAGTTTCAATTGGAACTTCATGGTGACAATGGAAACTTTATCGTGATTTCGGGAACTTTCAGATTGTTCACTAATTACTTTGAAGTGATAAAAGTGTAGTGGCCGCTACGTGCCGTAAAGTGGGCATATCCTTCAAACACACGTCATATTGTGAACACTACTTTGAAGTAATTTCAGAAAAAGGCGTCATATTTACTGACAAAACGTAGGACGCCATTAAATTTATTCCAATTTCCTTATGGTAGTACGATTATGGAATCATCAAAATATCACAAAAGATAACTTGAAGTGAAACTGAACTCATATTAGTAGAAATGATAAAAAAATATATTTCAACACATTTCACCAGCTACGTCGCTACGTCCCCGCCACGTAGTTGGAACGTAATTAAGTGCGACGTAGGGGTATAAGTTCCGGGGTAGTAACTTCAACGTAACTATCTCCTTCAAAATTGTCTCTCTCTTGGTCTTAGGTACGTAATGGCATTAACGTTGCCGTTAGTAGTAACCTCAACTTTACAGATCCTAAGAATAGTCGCCGGGTTGTACTAACGACTTGAATATTGACATAGGACTAACGCTTACTATGATTATTCTATGCTATGATACAAATCATTCTAAAGGCCACTTTACAGTTCGCTATTTCTCGGAGGAGAAAACTTGGCAGGGAATTTCATGACGGACATGCGCACAACCTCAAGGAATTGTTTCCACTTACAGCAGATAGCTAGGACCTATTTGCCTAGCACTTGCATGTATAAGTTTTAATATTGTTTTTGTTGCCAACTGTACGACTTGATCTTGGTTTATTTTATTAAACTTTAAACTTGGAGAAACCAATTTGCAAAAGTATCTACTGACTGACTTACTCGAATATCCATTTTAAAACTTGCTTCCTCCGAGTTTCGATGAGAAAGTTTTACATTCAACTTGAATTTTTTTGAATCTTATTTAATATTCAAAAACTGGCCCTAATTCTATTGCTCCTGCATCTAATAATCATGAAATAAGTAATAATTATACTCGAGATTATTGAATAGCTAGCCGATTTCAAGGGAATTTCACTACTCAGCATCAGGGCACCGCTAGCGTCGGTCGACCATCCAACTTGCAGCGAATGAATGAGGACGAGTAGGATATTTTTTATATGAATGGCATCGATGTCGTGTTGATGTGATGTTTATTGATGTGCTGAAAATCGGTTAAATTTGCTATTATAGTTCAAAATTAATATTTTTTTAATCATATTCCGATGGTGTATGAAGTAGTCGGTACGTGTGTGTGATTTTTTTAGCTGTTGAATTCGGCTTTGTTCAAAAATTGCCGTTTTTTATCTTGGTCTCGCTACCGGATTGCACTTTGTACTTTTAGCCCGTGCGAATAAATAACACTGTGTTGGTAGTGCGGTGCTGCCGCTGTTGGATTATTTTTGTTAAATCACTAGTTGGCCATGGCAAGCAAAACATGCAAAGACTGTAAATCCTCTATAGGGAAGAAATTTAAGCTACAGTGTGGTACCTGTAAAGGTAACTTTCATTTACAGTGTAGAGGTGTAACAGAGGTTGACGCAAGGGTGATGCAGGCGGAAAAAACACCATGGAATTTTAGGCAATGCACTGACACCACATATTTTAACGGTTCCTCCCGTAGATCTGCACTTTTCTCCCAGCCCGGTGAAGATGTAGAACTCAAAATGCTGATAAGAGAGCTGCCGGGTGAACTGAGGTGCGTAAATCGATGGAATTTCTGAACGAAAAATATGAGGAGAAAAAAGCAAGGTCTAAGGTAATGTCAAACATAATTACTGAAATCTCCAAGGAGAACAATTTCCTGTGACAAGAGGTACAGCGTATCACGGATTACCATCACATCCTGGATCAAAACAAAATAAAATCCAATATTTGTGTAACCGGTTTATTGCAAAAGGAGGAAGACAAGGCTACTACTGTTAAAAAATTAAAAAAGGTTTTTGCCTATATCGACACCAACGTGCCAGAGGCCGTCTTCAGCAGCATTAAATACATGCCTACAAAGGGCAACGTTATAAAGGTTGTACTTAATGTGGAAAACTCGGAAACTAAGAAGATGATCATTGATGCACGCGTGAAGAAGGGTCGCATAACAAGTAGAGCTGTGGGTCTAGTTGAGTCGACTGGTTATATCTTTTTGGACGAAGAACTAACTCAACAAACTTACCAGCTATTCAAAAAAGCAAAGTTACAACTCAAAGATCATGGCTTTAAATATGTATGGCACAGGAATGGAAAAATTTTGGCTCGAAAAAACGATAATGATGATTTGATTGTTATTAAAAATGAGACGATCTTGGAGGACCTACTTAGTTAATCTGAATATTATGATTTAATTATAGATACTGTAGTATTGTTCTTTCTGTGATACTATAAATATGTCTTTTCTGGTTTCTCATATTAATGTTAGATCCCTGATTTCTCATTTTGATGAATTTAAAACCACTGTTATGGATAGGAATTTTGATGTTATTGGCGTAACAGAAAGCTGGCTTTCTCCAAATATATCGGACAATTGTGTAAAATTGGACGGTTATATGTTGCAAAGAAGTGATAGATTGTATGGACGCGGAGGAGGTGTAGCTCTTTATGTTAAGAAGGATCTTAGGTATG